CCTCCCATCGACGATCTTCCAAGCCTTCGATGTTCTTGCATAATCACTATCAACGTTGATCAAACCAAAATGATCCACGAGACGATAATGAGTCAACGGGTAAATGACAAATAAAGAATGATCTACGGGTTGATGAGTTGACGGTGAAATTGTATTTTAGATTCAAAATTATAGACACATATACACGATTAAATCTATAGAGCTAGTTTAGTTTATTACTCATAAAATAGATATATAAATCAAAATCTGATTTTTACGCATCTCAAAAAAAAAAAAAAAAGATTAAATCTTTCATAACCCATTTACAGAACTTTAGACACATTAGGAAAATGAGGAAATATTTCTTAGGCTGATTCTAACTTGCAGATCATAAACCTGGTGTGAAAATGAAAATGATATTTTATGTTTTGATTATTTTTAACCAATTCTAAATTATACTTTCTATAAAATAAGATAATGAAAGACTTCAACGCATTTATTGCTATAAGTCTTCCAGGGCAAATTCTGATTCCACCACCAAACGGAATATAAGCATTCTTTTGGGAGCCAACAAACTCTTTACTTAAAAATCTATCAGGATTAAAAGAATCAGGATCGGACCAGTAATCAGGATTATTTAAAATAGTTTGTTGATCAATCCAAAAAATAGTTTTACTTGGCCAATTATACCCAGCAACATTTTCTTCACCATTCAAAACTTTCAATGAGTATGGAATTGGTGTAACATGACGCAATGATTCTTTAATCAATGCATCAATATAACGACATTCTTCGAGTTTTTCAAGAGTGAATTCAATGTTTGGATCAGATCCAAAAACTTGATCGATTTCATTATGAATTTTGGTAAGAATTTTTGGATGTTTCGCAACGTTATATATTAAGAAACTGATTGAGTTAGCGGTCTATTAAATATATAAAATTATATTATTAGTATATAGTATATGTACTGATCTATTTTATTTTAGATGTATAAAAAGAAAATTATAAAAAGAAGACTATAAAAAGAAGATTGTTGAAAGTTTACCGTATCAATACCAGCCAAAAGAATGTCCCATAAAATAGCTTTAACTTCATGAGTATTCAATGGAGCTGTTTTATCATCTTTTTTGTATCCAGGATCCCTTGGTGTATGAGATGTCAATAGATGATCTAAAAGATCCGATTCTATTTCTACACCATTATCAAGTTCTTTTTTCCTTTTCTCGATAATATTGATTGCAGTATCAGTCATACATTTAACACTATGTTCACAGTTCGGTATACCAGGTATATAATTTGTTATATACAGGCATAAAGCTAGAATATGAAATTGTAAACAAAAAATTTTTTACAGCATTAGATAACTTTAGTGATTTTTTAAAATTTTCAGACTCAACTATTTCTTTATTTGTGTCAAATGATGCCAAACTATGCGAATGTTGTTTTGTGATTTGATGAATCATCATGTCTGTAGTAAAGCATTTTATCCATAAACTAAAATCCAGAACTAAACCATCTTTAATAATTGAATTCCATCTATGTTCAGATTCTTTGAATAATTTTTGAACGCTGATGACGAATCCTCGTAGGAATTTTGGAGACGTAAATATAGGAACTACGAATTTCCGATTTCGATGCCATAAAGTATAATCACTATTAAACAATAATCCTTTTGTAGCTCCCAATTCTTCAAGTGAAGGATTTTCCACTCGCTCAAAAAATTTTGGAGTTGCCTTATTGAATTTTTCAAGATGTTTTACATGGTTTATCACTATTTGTCGTTGATGGCCAATATAGAATTCCCAGATTGTACCCGCTTTTTCAATGTTTTTAATGTACCAATTGTTAGGATTAAATCCAATTATATGAAATGTTCCGAGTATAGGAATTGGTATGGGACCTGGTAAAGGATTAGGACGCGTAAAATAGTTGTAATAAAAGTTTATCACGTAAATTGCTAGTAATACTGATGCAATAGAGATCCAATTTTCAAAATGAGAGCTTAAAATAAATAGAAGTGACATTTTCCCAATAAATAATTCTCTTCAAGGAAAGTTGTTTGTCAGAAACTAGGTATATTTTATACGTACTGTATGTACGTATTTCAGCAGTTTATTGGGCGGACCAATTTTATTTGGTAGTTTACATTGCCTCTCCCACTTTCTCTGCCTTCTCCTCTCATCCCCTCATCTCTTAGAAAAAAATATATATATAGGGTTACGAAAAGTCTACGACTTTTCCAAGAAAATTAGGTTAAAAAATTTTTTTTTTAAATTTTAATATGAAGTTTCCTCACTTCCCTCCTGCACCCTCTCTGAAGAAAAGTGGTGTAATTTAAACTAAATAATTTTATAGTTAATAAAAATCGCATTAAAAATCAGTATTTGAATTTAAATATATGTATTTCGTAAAATCACAAATTTGATTTAAATTATGATTTCTGCTATCCCTACTGCTGAGTAACGTTCGAATTAAACTTAAAAATAGAATATTGCTAATCAAACTAATGAG